AAATCTGGTAACCTAAACAACCAATTTGAAGATAACACCATGCAATACAGCAACCACTGTGGAATTCCTATTACTTTGTTGAGTGAAATTTTGTATCACTTCTAATGCTGTTTTTTTTTTTTTAATTGCTATTTTGTATTCTTTAAAAATAATTTTAAAAAGAATAGCCAATGCCTCTATTAAAGACCAAACATCTGACTGTGTTAGGGTTCCTCTCCTTTTTTTTTTTTAAAAAAATAGGTTAGGTCTTACCTTTGAAGTGGGGTGGTTGTAGGAGGCAGGTTAGGGGCCGGTGGCAAAGTGCCCTTGCCGGGCTGCCGATGCCATCCCAAGGGGGCACGAAATTGCGCGTCTCCAGTTCCTTGACAGCTAAGTTGTGCTAACTCACAGAATAAGCTGGAGCTTCCCTGGAAGGGTCAGGCTGACTGTATTTGACACCTTGCTAGCATCAGACAGACCTAAGCTGACAGTATTTAAATCAGATTTAGTTAAAAGCTTCTACTCAAATTTTCCCCGAGGACCGTGAAATTGCAAGCCTCTTGCTGGCCTCCCAGCTTCCTGGTAGCTGACATAAGTCCTAAAGGCACTCAGTAGCCAGAGAACCATTCGCGGTGCTCATGCACTGCTGAGTCAAGTGCTGCGACTAGAGCTAAATGTACAGGAAATCTTACGCCATTTGAAGAATATGCCCTAGTTGAGCTGTAGTTAAAGAGGAAAGAATTTCCAAAAATCTGATAGAATGGATTTTAAAACTACCCCTATTTTGAACATTTGACACCTTTGAAGCTCAAAGACCATGGATTCCTCACACAGGAGGATTGTAAGATGTAAGAGATACTTCCACATAGGCTGTAGATGCATTTAGTTAATTGATGTTAAAATCCACTATGTTTCCATGGTGAAATGAACTAGTATTTTCTGTTTTAAAGGAACCCAGCTGTTCATCCCCCAATACCACCAAAGCCCAGTTCTCCAATTTCTTCTTCTAAGCCGCTGAGACAAGAGAATAGGTAAGACCTAATGCTGCAGACTTTCTTACCAAGTTAAATTCAAGGGAAATGAGAGAAAAGAAATTGTTACCTGCTTTGTACAAAACATGGGTATGTTTTGGGTGCACCTTTACTAATAAGACATTCATAGAGATTTTCTATTTTCTATTTCAGCAGAACTGTGTATTTATGTTTTCTTTTTAATACTGATTCCTATTGTCTTACAGAGATGCACCTTTAATCTATAAATGGAACAATATTCTTTTTCAAGAAGTATTTGAGCTCAGGATTCTTATATATTAGCTTTAAATGTGTACATATGAATACATATATATATATATATATATATATTCGGGCATATATACCCTATACATCTACAATAAAAATATAAATTTTATTTAATAAAAATACTATGTATGTCATATAACATTATATAAATGTCGTGGTACAGTAATATAGTATGAATATTATATTTAAAATTTTAAATTTATTTATTTGGTACAGAGTCTCACTATGTAGCTCAGACTTGTAGCGATCCTCCTGTCTGAGCCTCCCAGTGCTGAGATTATAGGCATATGCCACCACGCTTGATTTCAGTGTCCAGCTCGGTGCCAGGCCAGCATGGCATGTAGTACTGGGGATCAAACCCGGTCCTTGTACTTGCCAGGCAGGCACTTAGACTGTCAAGCTAAGCCCCAGCCCTTGAGTACTATATTTAATATAAAGTATACATAATGTCATTATATTAGAGATGTATATATCTGCCATATACATTTAAATGTAAAAATAAGACATACTAAGCATTAAATATTAAAATGTATACATATATATGATTTGTATTTACTCTAGTTTCAATTTACCATTAAAAGCTACATTTCTGATGAAAGATACTCTTACAACTTTCTGTTACCACTCAGATCCTCTTGTTCAAGAAGTATTCGGGGGGCCAGCCAAATAGCTCAGCAGATTAAGGCACCGGCTTAGACAGACGCAGAGGCTAGGGGTTCCATCCCAGTGAATAAGACTGGGCATGGTGGTGCACGCCTACAGTCCCAGTGCTTGGGAGGCTGAAAAACAGGAAGGATCTCTACAAGTCTGATCTGTGTGGTGAGACCCTATAGATGCTGTACTAAATATATTAAAAAATAAAGCATTTGGGTTCAGGCTTCTTATATATTAGTTGTAACTGTGTATGTTAGATAAATTTTGAGTTGTTCTTTCATAGTTTTAGCTAAGGAATTTTGAATTTATTTCAAACTATGCAAATTTTGAACAATTTTTTAATTAACTTATCTTAGAATCAGGAAAAACAAACTTGTTTTTCCACTTTAAATTTCTTACCATTAATACTTAGACACCAACTCAGAGACCTGAGAATCTTCCCATATGCTCCTATGAAACTGTTTAATAATCTCGAACCATTCTGAAAGATGGACCTTCCACAATTTTATTATTACTGTGAGACTGAAAAGCAGTATCTCACTGAAGACTGAATACATTAGATCTGCTTGGTTGCCTGCCTTTGGTTCTTTTTATCCTTGTGCCTCTTGGTGGTGATTGTTTTTGGCACAATGTAGGACGCAATTGTAGAGCTGTTGTTCAGTGAGGCACAATTACAGAACTGTTCTTCAGTAAGAGGGCAACCAGCTAGAAAGTGCTGACTAAAGCAGGACCATGTAGCAGTAGGCACTCATCCATCCTGTTGGGGTAAAACTAACCTCTCCTCAGGGACATTTCACAGGATCTTTGGAACTTTGTTCTTGGGATGAAAACATAGTTATTTTAAAAAGAGTCAAGAGACTATTTCTCCACTGAACTCATTAATAATATAGACTAAATTTGTGGCTTTTCATTTGTATAATAGTTATAATTACTACATAAAAATAGCTTCTCAAGATTTTTATTTTACTTGATTTTTTCTTTTACTCTTACAGCATTAAGCAATTAAATCTCCATTTGAACAGGAATTTTTAAAGAGCTAAAATACATTATTCGTGAGCCACCAAAGTTCTAATCTAAAATAGGTGACACTGACACAGACAACTCTTTTTTATTCCAAAGAAGCTAAATTTAACAGGAATTGGTCTAAGCCACTTTTATCACTATTTTTTTTTTTCAGCAGTGATCTAAAAAATAAAGTTAGGAAAACTTGGTGTGTTTTTTAAACCCTGATTACTTTAATCACAGCAAGATGATTTTAATGAACGAATATGAAAGGGAAGTGTTTCCTATGTAATTAACACATGTCCTCAGGAGAACAAAAAACTAGCTTGAGAACAAGCAGGAATGGATAAGTAGGTCAGTCAGATGCTAAGAACTGCATAGGAACGCCTTGGATTCTGCGTTGCCGCAGAACCTAGTGCCATAAAATGTAATGGCTATTTTCAATGTGGCAGTTATGTTTGAAACGTAGCCTTATTTCCTGTCTTATCTGAATAAATATTTTTGATGGTTCTCAAATGGAATAAATCCTTAAGAAAAGCATCATCCCTTTGATGCCTCGTAACAAAATGATTGTTGGTGTTTTCAAATATTATCTCATTATCTAAGTAGGAGAGTGCTCTGATGAATGGAGACCAAACAAATAAGCATAAATGTGTGTAGAAAAGATGTTTCTAGGTACAGCCTGTAGTTTAGGAAGACATAAAATTGTACAATTAGTGTCTTGGATTCTTTAGATTTTTTTTTTTTTTTTTTTTTTTTTTTGCAGCACCAGGGATTGAACTCAGGCCCTTGCACTTGCCAGGGAAGCACTTATTCCACTGAGCCATCTCCCTGGCCCCAATTCTTTAGATTTTAAGCATGACATAATTGAGGTTTAGCCAACTCAAAGAACTCAGGAAAAGTTGTTACGTTGAATAGTTGTGCTTCTAACACAGGTCAGTTTTTCTGAACATAAATGTCTTCTTATGAATTTGAATTTAACAAAGAATTATTTTCTTATCTAACAGACATTATTTTTAAATTTATAGGGAAATACCTCCATCTAAACTTGGTATGTCTACAGAAACCAAAAGATTTACTGAAAGAAATACAAGGTACAATAGTATATATATATATATGTATGGATATATATGGGTATAATTATGGATATAATTGCTATATATGGATAACAATGATAAAGTATGCATTATTAGAACAGTTTGAAAGTAAAAAAATAATGAAATAGAATCGGTTTTCCAGCTGACTTCAATATAGTGGGTGATAAATATTTTTATAGGTACTTACAGAATTTTGTGCCTTGTATTTTTATCCTAAGCTTTGCACTAAGAGAGCAACCAAAATTGTCTGAACATGGTAATAGAATAAGATTAAGTCCCTCGGAGGAAGGAAAAGCATATCCACCTCTTTATGCCCAGCACTTGCCCCGAGCTCTGTGACATAGTCGGTGTGGGTGTATAAGTGAACAAGTGGAAATTCTGTGATTGAGTTGAACTTGGGCCACAACACCTTTGGCTAGCACTGACTGTAAAAAGTCATGTCCAATGTCTCTTGGGTAGATGGTTGTTCAAAATGAAGGGGATGGTGAATGAAAGCAAGAGACAGGAAAAGGAATATTGTGGGACTGTCCTGCTTCAAGGTTGT